TAGCACTGGCTCCTATTGCACCCTCGCACATTTTGGAGCAGTCACTTACCTGCCCCCCAGCCTGCTTGTGAGCTGCCTGGGACTTGCAACGTCCTGCTGGCTTCCCCACTGACTTTGCTGGTTGGAAGCCAGCAGTAAACTCTGAGGAGGTCCTCACTTAACGCCCCACGATCCTCACTTAATGTTGGCAACAGGAAGCGCCAGGATTGCTGTCACTAAGTGATGCAGTCACATGATGTTGCACTTTATGACCACATCACTTAGTGATGGAAATTCTGGTCCCAATTACTGTTGTTAACCAAGGATTACCTGTATTAGAAGATTGTAGTGAATGGACTCATTCATTCAGGCCAGGCATGGCAAACCTTCCCATCCCCCAATTCATTCAAGCATCTCAAGATTATTAGGTGATTTCCACACACAGAAACAACAGATTCATCTAGGAAATGAATATGGGCAGTGGCTAGGAACATGTGAATGCAAGGAATACAAATCCAGAGTTGACCAGGTAACATGAAGGGGATTTATGGTCAGTTTAAAATCTAATCCTCAACGGAGTGGGGGAATAAAGCTGCTTAGACTTGCCCAGTGGATTCTCGATCCTTACTGATAAAAAAAACTTTGTCAGTTTATCTCCTCTTTGAAGTAAAAGAAAAAGCTTTAGTAATAATTTGTATTCAGATTACTTTGTTTTCAGGTATATTAGTCTGCTTTGGGAATTGTGGTATTTGGTATTTAACAGCCAGTTAATTGTTGTTTCTTGGCTAAGCCAAGTCTTGTAAATTTTGTTTCATCTTAACTATTTGAACCCAGATCCCATCCATCCATTCTATGTCCAATCTCCCCATAGCTTTCTATGGGAGATTGAGGTTTGAGGCACTATATTTTCATCAATATTATATGTCTGATTTCATCCCATTGTAATTGTTTGGGCACTTGGTGACCAAAATTGAAAGAAAATATTATTTTTGTTTTTTATTATCATTAAGAAAATAATTACATTTAATTAAGAAAATAATAACACATTCTTAAATCACAAGTTTTAAGCTTTTGTTTTCATCCCCTTAAAAGGAGACAAGGTTGATGCTCTCTGGCCATACATCTCAAAGCTACTTAGGCCAGGACATGACATTACAGAGCTGGTGTGTTGTTGTTATTTTTTTTATTATTACAGATGAAGTTGTGCAGATTGAATAGATTTAATAATAAAACTGATGAAATGGCTTGAGAGGAAACTGAAGTGAGAGAATACTGGAAGAATTATTTTAGAGATTTGTATGGGAATGATAGTAGTATATCCAAGAGTTGAAGTGAAGGCTATAGATGTTAGTGTCTAAGAAAAAAAAATCTGATGAACAAAAGGTCACACTGCTGGTTTATGTAGTATAACTGTAGAAACATTAACATGTGGATAACAACAACAATTCATAGCATTTATATGCCGCCTGACTCCCAGCGACTCTGGGCAGAGATTTTAGTGGCTCTGTGACTTGTATAACATATGTGTAAAGACTGCATGCATGCTTATGATTGGAAGAATGCTGTCAATATTCTGTTGTACAAAGAAAAAGAAAGAGTGAATGCAAAAACTATAGGAGAAATACAGTGGTAGCTTGGGATACGAACACCTCTACTAACGAACTTTTCGGGTTACAACGAGCTCCGGCCGCAAAAATTTACCTCG